AAAGATCATCAAGTGTCGGTATTGACTTGAGTAGCACTGTTGGGTATTTCTTTATAACCTATATATTATATACTGTATCGTATCTTTGACTTCGCGTCGACATGTGTGAATGAGTATGTGAAAAAACAAAAACAAATAGATCTATATGATATAAAATAAAATATAATATACCAAACAAGAACTGACTTATACAACGTCTGTGTGAGACAGTTGAAAGACTTTGACCGAATCCCCGCTAAATTAGGTCAACAAACACTTCTTTGTGGTCTCAACAAATCACGTTGTTCACTTAATTGGAGTTTTTTTTCTTTCCCTCTGATTCTGGTTATTTTTGCCTGTCTGTCTGGTCTAACTTTTACTTTACCCTGTCATAAATAACCGTAAATTTGCCGATGAGCTTCTTTTTCCTAACATAAGCAACTGTAATGACAGAGATAACATAATAGTTGGTGTTTATGAATTATAATGTGAAAAGAGTGCTCGACTCAAAATTCTGAGAAATTGTGCTAGAAAATAATAAGCTGTTTCTTTTTTTTTTTCTTTTTTAAAAATAAATGTCCGTATTAAATTTCCCATTTTTCTGAAAATCAATTTTCACCCCCATACGTACACGGTCCGTTCCGTTTCAGGCAAACATGATATCAGGGAAATAAATAATAATGAAAAATAAATAATAATTTCAACAACACAAAATAAAAATAACAATAACTAAATAAATGAATACGCAATATATATACACAAAGACATTATACACATGTAAACAACAGCAACAAAAAATAAATTACCCCCCAATGGACCAGCCGGCGGTTCTACGCAGTAACCGGACGATACAGGGCAACCGAGGCCGGCCTGTCCCCCACACATCGCACATACATCACAAACATCCACACACACACACACACACACACACACACACACACACACACACACACACGCACACACACACACACACACACACACACACCCCACCTATCCCGACATACATACACACTCATAATCCAAACCCCCTTTTAATATTCCGACAGTAAATTGTTCTATTTTTTACACCTAAAATGAGCTTTTCCATGCGATGCCATTGCAATCAAATTTCATTCCCAGCTAAATCTAGATCTGTATTAATATCCATCTTGCAGCGGTCGCTGTGAATTTCCACAGAGGCTTTCATTGAGTTATCCTAGGAAAAGTGAACCAGATTGTCGGGGCAAACCAAGGCGAGTGGTAGGGCTAAGGATTTTAGTTTTGCTGCTTAATTAAGGAAACTGAAATGTCGCAAAGATTTAAGAAAAAAAAGTTGAGTACGTATTTGCGTATCTATGTATGTGTGTGTGTGTGTTTATGTGTGTGTGTGTGTGTGT